TAATATATATATATATATATATATATATATATAATACCTACACATCATACATATGGAATAGCTAAGCCCACACAATGGGAATTTGAAATCAGGGGTAGCAGTAAGGGTGGTGTTTGCTGAGGCTGAAGCTACCCCAAAATGTGCCTTAGCCTCCCCTGTAGTTCCCACAATGCTTATTTTTAAAGTTTGTCCACTTTCTAAGTGCTACAGTTTATGTTCCTACAAGATGTAGATTACAATCCCCTCAATTTTTTGTCAAGCCTACTTCAGTGAAATTGATAGACCACATATCTTGTGCTTTGATCTTCTTAATTAGTTTTATTTATGCTTTCAGAAATTAACATTGAGCTATAAAAATTTTTTTAGAAGTATGGTTTTTCTTATTCTGAAATTTTGGTTTTTGAAACCTGCTGATAAAATCATCCCCCCACAATTTGGCTTCATTGTGTGATGAAAAAAGTAAAGAAATTGAACTATGAGGACCTTATGATATATGAGTATTGTAATACCTAGAATCCTCATACATTGAAATTGGCTCTAGTAATGTGGATACTTGAAGGTACAAACGATATGTACTATTGTTATAGTGCCAACTCTTGTAAAAAAGTATTTGCTTGTTGTCCTTAACCTATTGCAAAAACAATAATGAAATTTGGTAACAAATGAATTAATACATTTACTTTCAAATTAGCCTCAATTCATAGCAGTTTATTTTAGGGTGAGCCTACACAACTTAATGCTAGTCCTCCTTTTGAATGATATGTCTGGGGAAATTACCTTTGTAACGATAACTTATTCAACTCTCTAGCTCAGTATTTTTCAAAATGGTAACTTCATCTGAAAGGGTTCAAGGTTGATCATTACGGAATACAAGAAACTAATTAAAGAAAAGGAATGTCAATAACAGCAGAGGTTATGGCATATAATCAAGGTTGGGAGATACAAGAGTTTTTTTGTCAAATGTTATAAAAAGGTTACTTCATCTGAAAAAGATTGGGAACCACTGCTTGAGCTGATGTTGTTGCATCAGTAACTGTACACAGATGTAGTTTGTAAGATATATATTTAAACCCCATTTGGGCTTGATTTCTAACAATGTATCAATAAATAATCATTTTGTTTCTTAACCTTCTCTCTCTATTCCATGAAGTGTTTCTTCCTTCCATGGCTTGGATAATTTTAACTACTTGCATTGTTTCACAAGTCTGCTTATTTTATTAACGTTTCACTGTTTTAATTGTGTGGAAATGTAGCTGTGATCGGTTAATAGTAGCTTACTGGTACAACAGAACACATTTCGTCTATGATGAGCTAATAGTAGCATACTAGTACAACAAAACACATGTTTTGTCTGTAATGAGCTAATAATAGCTTGCTGGTACAACTGAACAAATGTTTTGTCTGTAATGAGCTAATAGTAGCTTGCTGGTACAACAAAACACATGTTTTGTCTGTAATGAGCTAATAATAGCTTGCTGGTACAACTGAACAAATGTTTTGTGTAATGAGCTAATAGTAGCTTGCTGGTACAACAAAACACATGTTTTGTCTGTAATGAGCTAATAATAGCTTGCTGGTACAACTGAACAAATGTTTTGTGTAATGAGCTAA